TCCCAGTCTTGCCATGAAAGAGCAAATGGAAGCAGTAACTTAATAGTGGAAATACAATTTCCAACAAAACAAAAGAGCAGTAGAATGCCATGCAGTACCTATTTAAATGTGGTCACCAAAAACATACCTTGAGGTTTGGGGGTAGATAATGAGTTGTTCATTGTATGAAATGTGTTTTGGTCCAAGGACTGAGAACTCTGGTCTTTACAAATGCAAAAACACACATTTACAAAATTGGGCTTGTTTGTAAGAGCTCAGCGGTTCCAGAAGTGATCTTCTCACAAGTCCTGGATTTGCACAAAAGCAGAATTAACTATTTTCTTTGCAGAACTCTGTTTCAGACCAATTTCACATTGGTCTTATTTCCCTGGCAGTACAGGTCTGAAATAACTTGATAGCAACGTAAAATAAGGCTGTGCAATTTATATGAAATGCTAAAAAGAACAGGACCCTGTTGGGCTGTCTTCAGAAGAAGAAACTTGAATATACCATTAAATTGTGATAGTCACAGCACTAATGCTCTAACTTACAGTTTGAAACTTTGTGATACTGCACTACTGATAGCACTTAAACTGAGACATTGGGAAGAACAGTCTTCATTACCGAGCCAATGTTCTTTTCAGTAACGTTTATTACTATTTTGCAATCTACTTACGTATGCAAAACATTTTCTGAGACAGGCTGTCCAACCACCTTACTCAAGGTGATTATTTGCAAAATTTTCTTGAATGAAACTTGTGCACGAGGTGGCAGAGATCTGACAAGCATCAGTGAGAGAGAGGACAGACATGTTTTCTGGCTTGCGCTTACCCAGATGGAAAAAAAAAAACAAGTCTTTTGTTTTTCAGTTAAGCTACATTTATTCCAGCTTTAGTGAGCGCTATTTGTTAGGCTATTAACAGGAAACTCTCTTAGTGAAGGGAGTCTAGGTGGGAAAAATGTAATTTATCAGATGTCAATTATCCTAAATAGCCTTACACACAGTAGAGTAGAAAAAAACCTTTTCAAATACTTCAAACAAGGAAAAAAAAACCCCTGTGACATGCTCTCTTGCAATTTAGAGCCATTTTACACTGCTCCCATTGTTTGAAGAAGGCCTTAAAGCTTTTCCACCATATAAAACTGACCGTAGAATAATAATAAAAAAAAAAAGGGTAAGCTTTTCATCACAATACTATAAATAACTTCCTAGGGTTATATCCATTGTTTCCCTTCCTTCCTGCTTTCCACCCGGCTCCATTGCTGTCCAGCTGCAACGCTGCGACTAAAATGGACTTTCATTCCTGCACGTTAGCGTCGCCCTCATTAGTGTATCAGGATGTCTCCTCAGCGCTTCCCACTTCAGGTGCCTTTCTCTTCTGTTTGAGCGTCTTCCACTGATTGCAATTGCTGCTTGTGTTTTCAAGTGCAGGTCAGGGATTTTTTGTTTTGCTTTGTTTTTTCCTTCTCTTTAAAGCTTTTCTGCCACTGTTCAGTGTCTCCCATCCTTTCATTGCTCTCAATATCGTCTGTGCTTCTGTCTATCATGTAGGGCTTGTATTCATTCTTATCCCCATTATATTTGGGTCAGAAGATGAGTATAATATTTACATTTCTGTTTCTCTTCTTTCCTGCAATACTGAAGTAATTGAGAAGTGAAATATAGCAGCACTTCACATTGCACTGCTCAACTCTTGTTTCTGATCGGTATAGCTAGGTGAAGGGTCCTTTTGTATGTTCTTGGGCATGCAGCATAAAATACGTATCGTGGTGACTGAATGTTTATCGAAACAGCTTTGGCTGTATTCCTTTGGGTAGACGCTTCCTATTCAAACTTTTGCACATTCTCTTAGTCATTGAAAAAGCAAAGACCGTTTTTTGTGAAGCAGTTAAACTGAAGGCTGGATTTTATACTCTTACTTACGTGTCCGACTGGCTAAGCATAAGTATTCAGTGTGCCCCCCACTGCTTTTTTAACTAAGGTAAGAGTGTCACTTGAAAGGTGAAATAAAGAATCCCACATCTGTCTGTACAAACGGTAAAGTACTAAATTTTTCTTCGTTTATTTATCTGAAGTGGGCTCCTTTATTCTGCAGACTTTGTCGTGATTATCCGTATGTTTTCAGCGATTGACTTGTTTGGCAGTTAAATTAACAACTGAGCAAGAATGACAGATTTTTTGGTTACCTCATTTTCGTAGCTTTTCTTTTAGCGTGCAGTGTCAGAACTGCGTGCCAGCAAGTGGGGGAGCGTGCAGGCACACCACAGGGGGAAGCTGGATTGCCCTTTGCGGCACCGGTGCGGTGTTGGGGCCCCTGGCCCAGCCA